TTTGTTTCCAGAATTTTTCCACATTTTTCTTAATTATTATTGCGTTCTCATAAGAAGTCCAAAGTTCATAATATAACTTTCTACTTGGGTATAATAAAAATATTGTCTGATGTCAGTATGAGTAGCTCTTAATTGATTAAAAAATATCCAATTAACTACATCTGAAAAATTATAAAATAATAGAGAATTAATGTTTATGGTATGAAAATAAAATAAAATAATGGTGGAATAAATGTTGACTGATTTATTAAAAAAAAAACCAGTGTTGGGTAATGTATTACTGTAAACTATATTTGTAAAATACGTAAAACTTAGGTATCTACCTAATATATCATTATAAAATACCATGTTTCTATTGTACATATTAATAGTGTTCATAATTATATTTTTCAGAATACTTTACTGGCATTACTGATAATGGTTGTCCAACAGACTCACACTTTTTGTGTTCTGATAATATGACATGTATACCTTACCATCATGTTTGTGATATCAGCCCAGATTGTCCCGATGAAACGGATGAAACCGAAAACTGTTGTAAGTATAATTTATTTTTCCAATAATTATTTGCAATACAYTTTGGTATGTGGATTATGTGAATATTATTTTTCATATAAGTACACAGTCCAAAAATATAAAGAATTCTCTGAATTACACGAAAAGTGTTTGATTTTTTTACCTATTAACAGCCACAGTAAAACAAATCACATCTGAACCACTAGACAAAAAAAAATTAAAAAACTCATGTTTATTTATACCATTATTAAACAACGGTGAATATCGGATTTAATTCAACCAACCGAAATTTTCCAAACAACAGATTGATTTAATATGTTAAAAATAATATATCTATCCCACGTGTGGCACTAATTAAAATATATAATTTTGTAATAACTCTTCTATCCTATCTACACGTAATGAAATTTTACATTAAAATGTATTATTAACAAATTAATTTTCACTAAATTAGTCATGTATTTAATTAACACCTCCGGCAAAATATAACGTCCTTAAAATTATTATCAGGAATMTAGGTGGTATACTTTGTGAAACTTATTATCATATTGTATATTTAATTTTCTCACATTTGAAACATATGTTTTCATTAATTTAATGATGATACTTAAAAGGATTCGAATAAAGCTTGGAGCAAATTTTATAAGGTAATACATTTTTAATTTTTAATATTAGTGCTTAAATATTTACCAAATAAAAATACGTT